CATAAGACATGTAGAGACAGAAGGAAAGAGAGAGAGAGAGAGAGAAAAAGGAAAGAGATAATACGAAAGAGGGAGGGGGGCAGGAGAGGGGAGGGAGAAGGGAGAGGAGGGACAGGGGATAGGGCAGAGATGCATAAAGACGAGGGGCGGGAAGAAGGAGAGAGACGGGAGGAGAGGAGGGAGGAGGGAGGAGGAGCAGGAAGGTAAGAGCGTGAACGTTCGAGGAACTCCTAGGCGAAAACGCCGTTCCTGAAGGAAACCTTGGGCGGGAGCCCACGAGGGGCAAGCGATCCCCTGTCGCGGCAGTTTGCGAGACGTCGGAACAGCCCGCCGCAGGCGCCGAAACTTCACAATTTACACAACGAGCCCGCCACAAACGCCGAACCTTTCGTTAAACGAATTAGAGTAGGTCGCGGGTGGGTGGCATATGGGACGCGGGTGGGTCGCTGTTGGGTCGCGGGTGGGTCGCGGGTGGGTCGCGGGATGGGTCGCGGGGTGGGTCGCGGGATGGGTCGCGAGGTGGGTCGCGGGATGGGTCGCGGGGTGGGTCGCGGGATGGGTCGCGAGGTGGGTCGCGGGTGGGTCGCGGGTGGGTCGCGGGTGGGTCGCGGGTGGGTCGCGGGATGGGTCGCGGGTGGGTCGCGGGATGGCTCGCGGGGTAGGTCGCGGGGTGGGTCACGGGGTGGGTCGCGGGGGGTGGTCGCGGGTGGGACGACGACAACATACAGCAACAACAATAACAACACCACCACCACCAAAAACAACAACGGCAACAATAGCAGCAACAACAACAATCAGTATAAGACTGTTCGCTCGTATGTGCCCGTGTGTCATCCAGAACGAATTCCCAACACCCTCGATACCCGCCCATCTTGTGTTCGATCACACCCCCTTTGGGGGGGGATAATTTCTCTTTGCGGGGAGCGGCGTGCTTAGACAGGCGGGCAAACGTGCACGGGCGGACAATCCTTCGTGGGCGTACATGTGCCCGCCATTGGAATTGGTGTGGGCATTAGGAAAAAGAAAGAGGAGGGGGAGAACGACGGAGAGTGGGAGGAAGGGAGGGGGAGGGACGAAGGAAGAGGGAAAACGCCAGGAGAGAAGGAGCGAAGGGGGGGCGGTTGATTAGAGGCAGAGAGAGGGAGAGAGAGAAAGAAAGAGAGAGAGAGAGAGGACGAGAGAGAGAGAGAGAGAAAAACATACAAGAGAGGTTAGAAAGAGAGAGAGAGAGCAACAACGACGGAGGGAGGATGCAGGAGAGGGGAGGGAGAAGGGAGGAGGGAGAGGAGGGAGAGGGGATAAGGCAGAGAGGCATAAGGATGATGGACGAGAGGGGGGAGAAAAGGGAGGAGAGGAGGGAGGAGGGAGGATGGAGAGGACGGAGGAGCAGGACGGTAACAGCGTGAACGTTCGAGGGAATCCTAGGCGAAAGCGTCGGTCCTGAAGGAAACCCCGGGCGGGAACCCACGACGGGCGGGCGATCCCCTGACGGGCGGGTCGTGCGGGTGGGACATTCAAGCGGGATGCCTGAATATGGTGAGAGCGAGGATCCTAACTGAATTGTGACGGGCGTCCTTGGCGTAGCGTGTTTCCTGAGCGCCGGAAGCGCGATTTCTAAATACTTTGCACGGAAGTCACAAGCGAGAGCACAATTCCTGAGTAAGATGTGAAGGGCCCTCTGGCGGAAGCGGGGGTCTTAATCAAGTTGCGAGGAAGTCTTGGCTCAATTGCGAAGAAGTCTCAAGCGGGAGCGCCGTTCATGAGTAAATTGTGAGGAAGTGTCAGATGGGAGCGGAGGTCCTGACTAAATTGCGAGGGAATCACAAGCGGGAGCACCGATCCTGAGTAAGTTGTGAGAAAGTCTGGGGCGGGAGCGGGGGTCCTGAGTAAATTTGGGGGAAGTCGTTTGCGGGAGCCGTTGTTGTTGTAATCTGGGGAGCCAGGGGTACAGTTTGAGCACCAAGAATTTTCTGTCACAGAACAAGGTGCGAGCGTCGAGGGGCACATTTTGATTAGGAAAAACTGCACGCACCAGTGAGGGGGGATCAACAATATTTACTTCTTCAGGAATGATAACTCCACAACAACAACAATCATTTTAAAATTGTTCGCTCTTATCTGCTCGGGTGTTCGTTAAGGCGTATTTTCCAAACCCTCGATGCCCGCCCTCTTCATTTTCGATCGTGCCCCTCTTGGGGGGTAAACCTTTCTTCCCTGCAGGCCGGGCCCCAGCAAGCGGCGGGGCGGCCGCAGACAGTGTGCCTGGCCAGCGGCAGCGCTGATCGGCGGCAACCCGACCCCAACAGGGACGGACAGGGGACCGACCACGACGACGACGACGACGACGACGACGACAGCGACGACGACGACGACGACGACGACGACGACGACGACGGCGACGACGACGAGCGAAAGCGAGAGCGAGAGAGAGAACGACAGCGGGGCCACCAAGGTCACGAAGTAGGCCACGAAGGGCGACAGCGGGGACACGAAGGGAATGCGTATGGGGCCACGAAGAGCGCGAACGAGCGGGGGCCACGAAGGGCAGATAATGCGGGGCCACCGAAGGCAACGACGGGGCCACTGAAGGTAGCAACTGGGCCACGTAGGACAGCGAGGGGGCCACGAAGGGCGACAGCTGGGCCACGAAGGGCATGCACATGGGGCCACGACGGGCGCGAACGAGCGGGGGCCACGAAGGGCACACGTATATTGGGCCGCGGAGGGCAAAGACGGGGCCACTGGGGGCAGCAACGGGGCCACGACGGGCAGCGAGGGGGCCACAAAGGGCGACAGCGGGGCCACGAAGGGCATGCCTATGGGGCCACGACGGGCGCGAACAAGCGGGGGCCACGAAGGGCATACATATATGGGGCCACGAATGGCAGCGGGGAGGCCACGAAGGGGTGCAACGGGGCCACGAAGGGCAGCGAGGGGGTCACGAAAGGGTGCAACGGGGCCACGGAGGGCAGCGTGGGGGACACGAAGGGCCGCGACGGGGCCGCGAAGGGCAGCGAGGGGGCCACGAAGGGCTGCAAGGGGGCCACGAAGGGCAGCGTGAGGGCAACGAAGGGCTGCAACGGTGCCGCGACGGGCAGCGAGGAGGCCACGAAGAGCTGCAAGCGGGCCAGAAAGGGCAGCGAGGGAGCCACGAAGGGCTGCAACGGGTCCACGAAGGGCAGCGAGGGAGCCACGAAGGGCTGCAACGGGGCCTCGAAAGGCAGCGAGATCCCGTTTCCTAAATAATCTGTGTGGGAGTCCTAAGCGTGAGCGCGACTCATGGGTGCCTGAGTGTTGGGAGCGCGGCGCTTGAGTACATTGCGGGAAATTCCAACGCAAGGGCGCTATTCTTAAGTAAATTGCAAGCAAATCTCCGGCGAGAGCGCGACTCCAGAGCGCCGAGAGAACGAGTCTTAAGTAAACTGTCAGGAAGTCCTGAGCGAGAGCGCGGTTACTGAATAACATGCGAGGAAGTCCCAGGCCGGAGCGGGGGTCCTGGCTAAATCGTGAGGAAGTCTCAGGCGGGATCCGTTGTTGATGTAACCCGGGGGCCAGGGGCACAGTTTGAGCACCAAGACTTTTCAACAATAACTATTCTTCGGACATGAGAGTTCAACAACAACAACATCAACAACAACGACGACAACTGCAGCAGCAACAACAACACCAACAACAACAACAACAACAACAACACCAACAACACCAACAACAACAACACAACAAGCAGACTCCTCACCACGGATCCTCACTTCAGCCACGCACCCAGGGACAATGAATGACCGTTCGGCCCCTCACTTGATTTTACCACAGCCTACTTGTGAAACAATAAAGTGCGGTACGACGCTGCTTTCGGCCGATTCGCATTATGGAACCGACGTCTACCCTAAATGCCACCATGCGGACCGGTGCGACGCCCCATCCAATCCCAGCACGTTCTCTTGTAATTGATCGACGTTTTGATCCCAAGAAGAAGAAGACACTGCGGGCCATATGCGCGCGTGCACAAAACAACATCGTTTAAGTATTCGAACACTTTCGAACACCTACGAAACCAACAATTCCTGCAATATGTTCTGCGTACGCATGGTCCGAATGTGCGCGCGAAATCATCAACTTGCCCAGCCTGCCGAATGACTCCAGACAACCACGTGATGAATTTCTCAGAATCAGACAAGAGGTGTATGCTACGGCTTTCTTGGGCCATATGGGATTGATCGGACACGACCGACTTGAGTTAGTATGAGGTGATCGGGTAGGTATGATCGCATCCCGCAACAAGCTGGACTACTATACAAAACAATGATACGTCGTTACGCCAGAAACCACGAACCATGACCAGAGACAATACACCACGAGCTACGTCCAGACACTACAACCCACGACCAGAGATCAACACGAGAGGAAACAAATACGGAGCAAAAACCACGACAAGAGACCACGCGCCACTACCAGAGATCACGCGCCACTACCAGAGATCACGAACACCAATTTAGGATCGCGCATGCCGCCCGCTGCCCTCAAAAACCATACATAGGACCGACCAGACAAGCTGCATACGGATGCAGTGTGATGTGATGCGACCCACCTTGCGCACAATATATGCCGCGGGGTGGGGCCGCAGTGCCTACAAGTAACTTGAAATCACAAGACAACTCCTCTAGACAGCTGTTCGAGGAGCCAGAAATTACGCCAGAATCGACCGGATCGGCGCGGGATCAGGTGGGACTGGGCCAGGTTGGCATCAAGGAAATACTGGGGCCCGTGCTAAAGATAACTAGAAGAAGAAACATAGGCATAAACATAAAACCTTTTGGCGCTCAACGCGGATTCTTGGATCTGCGCTGGAGCCCCCTCCCTGGCGCGCGGAACACGCCAGGGGCGGCGCCGCAGGCGCCGCTGGGGGGGCCCCAGCTCGGAATCAAGGAATCCGCGCGGAGCGCCAAAAGTTAGTGTTTATGGCGCTGTTTCGTGCCGATGGTAACTGCCCTCCCCCCCCCCACGAGAAGTGCTCGAGCAGACGCTGGATGACGCGGCAACCGTACATGTGCATGGCCATCTTCTCGGTCTCTTTCTCGAGGGGGGCGGCGAGAGAGCGTGCGGGCGCGCTCCCAGCGGACCTGGGAGAGTGGCTGCAAGATTTGCTCGTGTGGCCCTTCAACTGGACTTCCCCAAAATGTGGTGGCGTCGGAGGACCGAAGTGCGCCGACTGACCCCAGGAGAATGCGAATATGGCTTGTCGCTGTGAGCCATGCTTCATGGCAGCAGTGCTACAGTCATGGCACTGCCAGAAGGAATGCTAAATAAGGAACGAAGCCCCTTGTTTACGCCGACAGAGCCTGAATGCACGAGGATGGCTATCGGAGCAACGGAATGACGTAAGGAAGAGCGAGCCCCTTCCGAAACCAAAGCGGTCCTTGTTCCAGCGTCTTGGCTGTTTGGCTTGTCGCTGTGAGCGATGCTTCAAGGCTGAATTGCCACTTCCCCTTGACCAGCTGCAATATGTAACCCACGCGTGCCATCTGACCACCGCGTCGGAGAACATACAATGTGAGGCGCCAATGGTCGGCTCCATGCGTTTACAAAAGGCCGGTTAGACAGTTAGGCGCGTACGTATCTGCCTGTCCTCCTTGCCAGGGGCGATCGCACAACAGGGAGCCTCGAGGATCGAGGTCGTCCCTGGAGATAAGTAATGAATCACGAATCGGCATGGCGTGCCAGCGAGCTCGGAAGCGCAGTCCCTGTTGCTTTTCTTGGGGGCACGACCACAGAACTTCACGGCCTCAACTGCTGTGCAAACCTGAAGGTCACCAGGAACACCAGGAACCTTGAAGGAATCAACCTGCGATCGGCAAACCCACGCGCTGAACATTGGCCTGAAGGGGGAAGCGAACGTGCCGAATGCGACTAGTTCCCAAGGTATCGGTGACCAAGTTTGCTTAATAAAACATACGCACAAGAAGACCAGAGGGTGCGAGAGAAGGCGAGGGGATGGAGGAGACGACAAGGAGGGCAGGGGAGCGGGATGAGGATGTACTGACATCCTCCAAAAATGCGTGCAACGAGTGGTGCACAAATTCTACGTGAGCACGGGTGCCGCTACACACGCGCAGCCCAGTAAACCAGGGAAAAAGAGAAAGAGAGAGAGAGAGAGAGAGAGAGAAAGAGAGAGCAGAGAACAGAAGCAAGAGGAGGAGGACGAAGAAGAAGATACACTGCAAATTTAGCAAGCTGTGTGCACAAATCTCCCCAATCACCGCCCTTGTAATTCATGCGTTATGACACGAACTCGACAAATAATTAAACTTCAGTCGTCAACTGCAGGCACCGAAATTCCGGAAGTCCTCTTCGTTTCCGAAGTGGACTCCCATGAGCAATGCCCCAGCCTTTCAGAACACTTCGAGCTCGAGCAAGCCGAAAGCAAGCATATCAATCTGACCTGAAGCCCCGTACGCTTTCACTCCGCATCATAGCCTCGAGCGATTCGAAGCAGCAGGCATCGATAGACACATGGCGTGAGCCTCGACCTTCTCCACGATAAAGCGCACCGAATCAGGATTCATCTGCTCGATGCACTTCTGAATCACGTGGTTGCCGTGCGGGTTCTCGATGCAACCGATGACATCCTTGGACAGCCGATCCCCCCTTCAAGTCGGACCTAGGCCAGAAGAACAACCCTCAAAAACATGAGACCCTCTCGCGGCCAAAACAAATAGACCATCCGAGAGTACCCTCCCCAAGATGCACAAGAACACCCAACAAATACGAAGAACATCAGAGTACCCTCTCCGAACCGACCTCGATCTCCTCCCTCGGTCCGACTGTACGTTTCTCTTCCTCCTCTTTCCCTCGGTATTCAGGTACACCGTCCAACTCTGGCCCAACATCGGCGCAATCGCCCTCCTGGCCTGGCCAGGCAAGCACATAGAAACACCGGCCCTGGGCCCGAAACGGGCCTGGCCAGGATCGGTGCACGTGCACCGTCCTCGCCCCCCCCCTGGTGCGCCTCCTCCGTCAGATACCCCCTCCTGGTCCTCGTCTCCCCCTCGACGTCCTCGCCCTCCTAGAATTATAAAAACCATGCCCTCGCCCCCCTCGACGTCCTCGTCCTCGTCTCCTACTCCTGTGCAAGGTCCTCCTAGAGATGTAAGCTTTCGAAGCTCCGCGCGGACTTCCCTGGTCGGCGCTGGATCCCCCACCTGGCGCGCGGGGCGGCGCCAGAGGCACCGCCGAGGGGTCTGGATGCCAGGGAAGATGCTCCAGCCCTACCTGCCCTGGGGAGCGTTCCGACCAGAACCTCGAGGCGGATCCTGCCGTGGCGACGTGGATGCGAACAACAAAACATCCAGAGCTACCACAACGCACGCTGTCTTCCCAACGCCCACCATAGAGGACGCCAACGTTACGAAGAGGCCATTGGTCCTACCTCGCGTTTGACCACCCTCGCTTCCAAGCGAGAGCCAAGCGATATCAAGCCACCCGCGGGGGTGGCCCGCAACGGCCAGGCTGCTTGACGGGCACGCGCGTGGAATGACTTGGCTTGGCCTGGAAGCGAAGGCGGTGGAGGCAGTTCATCCTCTGACCTGCACCAGCGTGGCTCGGTGTATGCAGTGAGGTCGCGGCCGCAATAAAGCCTTGCAAGAAACCGATCCCCGAAAACCCGCGCGCGAGATGCAACTAGGGGTCAGATCGGCGGGGTCAGGGTCCAAAAACACAGGGATTTGCAACATGTCTGAAATTCGGTGGCACCCCTCACGCAGATCGGCAGGGTCAGGGTCCAAAAACATAGGGGATCTGCCACATTTCTGAAATTCGGCGGCACTCCTCACGCAGATCCGTAGGGTCAGGGTCCAAAAACACAAGGGGTTTGCCACATTTCTGAAATTCGGTGGCACCCGTGACGCAGATCCGTGGGGTCAGGGTCGAAAAACAAACAGGTCCCGACACTGCTTCACGGCGGCGCCCAGACCTCATGATTTAGCTTTTGCATCTCCCACTCTCCGAGAGAGGGGGCCGGCGGCAGGGGGCGAAGACATTACGGATATACATATATATGTATAAATAAATGAATGCATACATAAATAAATAAATAAAACAATAATTAAACACATAATATCTATATATATATATATAGATATCGATATGCATGTATAAACACATGAATATGAATAAGTAAAATGGACCACGCGAACACGACGCGGCGCTCACGGCAAACGCACACCACTCGACGCTTTGCAACCGTGCGCGCTTGTCGATGTGTCCCGTCTCTGCGAGCGCGCGCTGCGTAGAGTTGAAATTGCGTGCATGCCTCCTTCGCGACACGTGCAGGAGATTGGTACGATGCGCGATTCCTTCGTTATGGTCTTCCTGGTGGTTCGCGTTCTCTCCTGTTTTATTTCTGATCGGCGTTGGAGGCCTCAAGATGTCTCCAAGATCGCACAAGAGGGCCCCACAAGGTGCCCATACGGGCTCTAAGACGGCCCCAAGATCGCCCAGGAACGCCTCAGGAGCGCCCCAAGAGGGCTCCTGGGGGGTCCGCTTCCAGCAGGGGCATTGACATCAAGAACCCCCCCTTTTTTTATCGATGGTCTCCAAGGTGGCCCTTGGAGACCCTCAAGGCCCACCAAAAGGGCCCCAAGAGAGCCCCAAGAGTGCTCCAAAGGCTTTCCAGGAGCTCCCCGAAGTATAGTTTCACGATTCCTCGCCTCCCTGCGTTTACTATATGCGCACTTGCGCCCCACCTCTAGTCAGCTCCCCTGGGCATCATTTCTGGACTACCTCCATCATTTGTTGTTATTCCTCCTGCCCCTCCTCCTCGTCCTCCACCTCCGCCTCGGCTGTGGTTTGGACCTGTTACACGTCCCTGATCAGGGCAACTCGCGCGGGGATCGTTTCTGGATGGGCTGGTGGTGATACGTACTGGCACGCGGGCGCGCGAAGACGAGTCGAACGCCGCGCAAGCTGAGGCGGGCCGCGCCGAAGCAAAGGAAAGAACAGCGGAGCGAGCGGCGCCCGGCTCAGAGCGGAACTGGACTGCTGGTGGGGACACGGGACGCGTCCAGAAATCTAAGCCCATGCAGAGAGGAGGAGGAGGAGGAGGAGGAGGAGGAGGAGGGAGGAGGAGGAGGAGGAGGAGGAGGAGGAGGAGGAGGAGGAGGAGGAGGAGGAGGAGGAGGAGGAGGAGGAGGAGGAGGAGGATGAGGAGGAGGAGGAGGAGGAGGAGGAGGGGGGATGGTGGCGGGAGCTCGCGCAGCGTCCATCATTTTCACTGGGTTTCGTCGCGCACCCCACCTGAAGGGCACACTCGCTCCAATTGCTCGTCGGAAACTGCCGGGGGCGACTGCCTGCGCCGCGTCATCCTTCCACGTCGCGCCGGGACCTCGGCGACGATGCGACGAAGTTGACGATGACGCTTGGACGCAGAACGACGCCAATGTCATCGACGGGCTTGCCGGGGCGATCTCTCCCTCACGATTGACACCGGCGACTTCCCCTGACAACCGATGCCTGCCTGGCCGGCGCGGAAAAACTGCTGGGGAGAGTTTTTTCGAGGCCAGAGCACTGCAATTCCTCTGCCAGTGGAGTCTATCGGTCCCCGAACAGACAGAGCGCCAAGAGGCCACCCGAATTGTGGTCTTCTGACAGAGTGGTTGGGCGCCTTCAGCTGGGATGCCAGAGAAACGGCCCGTATTGTTGATACGTCCATCCTTCGGCCCACTACCCAATCCGTCCTCCACGAGGTCTAGGGGGCTAGGCAAAAAGCAACGCCACATTCTTATTTGCGTGCACTTCGGCCCACTACCCCATCCCTCCTCCGTGTTTTGGGAGGCGCGGTACGATTGTAAACTTGTGCTCTTGACTTGTCCGTCCTCCGACTCACTTGCCGACCCCTCGTCGACGGGATGTTGGGAGCCGAAGTAAGAATGTACAATTACATTCTTGATAGGTGCGTCGTTCGACCCACTGCCCTATCCCCTTTCACGGGATCTCTGTGTGGGAGGGACCACGCAATGATGTGAACACACACACACACACTGCCCGAACTTCAGCCCGCTACCCTATCCCTCCTCCGATTTATGTTTTTTGTTGTGTTTGGGGTGGTGGGCGGGTTGGCCCCGCAACGGGATGCTGGCGGTGCGAGGCCACAATGTGAACTGGACATTAGATGTGTGTCCGTCCTCCGATCCACTGTTCTATCCGTCCTCAGCGAGGTTCAGAGGGCGAGGGAATAATTCAAGCTCGTTGAATTGTCCATCCTTCGTCTCTCTATCCCATCCCCCCTCCGCGGGAGTTGGGGGACGCGGCAAATGTGTAGCCTTACATTCTTCAGTTGTCGGTCTTCGACCAACTACCATATCTCTCCTCCACGTGGTTCGGGCTATGGGAACCGCGGCAAGCATGCCGCCTTGCATTCGTGATGCGTGCCAATTTCGATGAACTACCGTGTCCGTCGTCCACCAAATGTGGGAGATCGGCATACAAAAACGAATCTGGTGTCTTAACGCGTCCGTCCTTCGACCTGCTACACCATCCACCCACAAGGTCTGACGGGGCAGAACAATAATACAAGTTTGCATCCATACTTTGCTCGCGCTTTGACCTGCTACCCTTAGGTCAGGCATGTCCCCCTACAGGCGGATTTTGGACGACAAATGAAAAGAAAAAACATACCCCCAACATAATTCAAAATAGCCAAACAACATGATCACAACATCGTCCCCTTACTATGATCTCACCATTTATGAATATTCCTCCTGAGGGGCGTGCCCGACCTTGTACTACTACCCTATCCCCTACCCCTCCTCCGCGTGGGGTGTTGGCGGGCCGAAGCAAGAATGCAAACCTGCACTGTTGGCCTGCCCGCCCTCCGACCCGCACCCTGTCCCTCCCCCGCGGGGTTGGGAGGGCGAAGCAACAATGCAAGCCTGCGTTCTTATGTGTCCGTTCAGTTAGAAAAAAACGCCACAAATATAGTTGAACCTTTGGCGCTCCGCGCGGATTTCTTGGATCTGCGCCGGACCCCACTCCCTGGCGCGCGGAGCGCGCCAGGGGCGGCGCCAGAGGCGCCGCCAGGAGGGCCCAGCGCGGATCCAAGAAATGCGCGCGGAGCGAAAGCAGCATATGTTTATGGCATTGTTTCTGCTTCGATCCATGGAGTCTGGGGGGGGGCGTGGGAAGAATGCGAAATTGCCTGTTCGACTTGTCGATTCCTCGACCCACTGCCCTATCCCTCCTCCACGGGGTGTTGGGGGGCGAGGCGAGCATGCAAAACTGCTCTATTGATGCACCCGCACTTCGGGCCTCTGCCCCGTTTCACCTGAACAGGAGCCGGAGGGAAGCGGCAATAATGCAAACTTACAGTCTTGGTGTGCCCGAACTGAAGCTCGCTATCCTGTCCTTCCTCCATGGGGCGTGGGGGGCTCATGCACAAAAGTGGCACTACATTCCTCACTACCGAATCCTTCGTTTCTGACTTGTTCAGGTAGCCCTAAGAACGTTTCGGTACAAGGCTCCGATAGGGGCAGAACAATCCACACTTTCCCTCACAAAAAGGGGCGCAGAGCCCGAGAACACTGGTTTCCACTCAGGTTCGGCAGCCGCTTTTGGGGGCAGGGCCGTAGGGTTC